TATTATAAGAAAAAAAAAAAATAAAAATTAGAAAAAAATGTTCAACTTTGTATTCAGCTCCTTAAGCATCAGCGTTTATCTTAGCATTAAATATCAACAATATGAGACACAAATGAGAATGTAGAACAAAAAATGACGAAGGAAGGTTTGGATGAAAACGCGAAGTTCGCATGATCGAGGAGCTGTTGAAATCTAAGGAACAGTCGACACGAGGCAACACCTCGACATAGAAGTCCGCGTTCGTCTTGGTTGTTTCACGGTATCGGCTTTATGAACGAACATACGAACGTACGGTCGGGGTAACGGTGGCGAGCGAAGTCCCTCGCACTATGCTAACTTGGTTAGGGCGTTAATGACCTAATCATGTTACATGCTGATTCAATGTTCAAGGATGAATGCTGTCCACTTTACATACCTTGCCCCGTTACCCGGTGAACAGTGAAACTCGGTCAAGTTCAACGAGAAGACGGGGGATCCCTTATGATCCATTTCTTAACGAACCAGCTAAAGTCTCGTCGGTGTTTCATGTGCTCGTTAGATCAACGGTAGCAATTAACGCGAGATCGTGGTGATATGTTTATATAGAGAGAAGACATATTTTAGGAATGTTTACTTCTTCTTGTCAGATTTTTTGCACAACGCTTTGCGGTAAGACCAAAGTGTCCACTTCAATTCGACACTCCATGTTCAACTTTATATTATCAAATATTATAAAATTCAATTTATAGTGCAACATATGTTCCTTTATGTTAAAACTTCTTTTTGCAACACATGCGTGTGCATTAGTTCGTACCAAATAGAAAAATGTTTGAATAAATGTCTAAGGAAGTACCATAGCGAGGACATAAAGAAAATAGGAAAAAATTGTAGAATGAGAAGGCGTTTACATTCTTTTTTATCAAATTTTTAAATGTTAGTTGGAAGTATTGATCTAAATTGTAATTGATCTAAAGATACTGGGAAATTCTGAAGTATTTTTTGAAATAACTCATTGAAGATGGAGCAATGGGAGAAACTTGGATTCGAAGAGGGCTGCAAAGGGTTAATATTTTCAAGGGTACACATCTGCAATGTTATTTAATTGGTATTTATGCATACGTATTTGTACAACTTTGATTTTACCTACAGAGGCTCATTTCTTATTGGAAATGAATATTGAAAGAGATACTTTCCTGTCTAATTTTGCTTTCAATTTCTCTTATTCTTGCATAGCAACACAATTAGATTAGAATCTAAAGTACTACCAATCGGGTCAAAATAATTTATTAGCGATTTTCCAAGAGTGAATTTTTAGGTATACAGAAAAATTAGATTCGTATCGATACAAATAGAGGCATACACTAGGTTGTAAACTATAATACCACCATCGAACAATCAAATTTTTTTGAAAATTGCTAATAAGTAATTTTGGCTCCGCCGGTAGTTCTGGTGTTAATCATTTTAAAAAGATACAGCAAAAATTGATACATCCTTCATAAACATTCGATGTTCTCCAAGAAATCTGAATTTTGTAAAGAAAAGTCAACGAGTAAAAAATTCAGAGAACACCAATGTAAATGTAATAGTCTTTTGTATAACCCGAAAATGTAATAGTCTTTTGTATAACTTCGATGAAATTCTTGACAAAGAGTTGTCGACAAAGTCTTCGAAAAATTGAAGTGACAGGAAAAATAGAAGTAATTCTAGCGGCAACTGCAACTGCCATCTGGCCAGGATACATTCCTTCGGAAATAATTACGGACAGTTTTAACGAGGTGAAACATCGTGATCCTGCCATGACAAATGACACGATCTATAGGATTACTAGTAATGCAGATTCCTATAGCCTTCACAGCTGTCCGCCGTTAGCATCTGCCGTCAAATTCTAGTTAGCATCAATACTGCTGCCTGCGCTTCGAGCTCTGACGACAAATTTTTCCTCCAATTGCAAGTTCCCCCACGAATACTCGATAGCGTAGAAACGAAACATTGTGATACCACCGATAGAAACATCTCTATTCTTAAGAATTTCCTTCTCGTTTTGTTATCGAACATATTACGGCGATCAGTTCTATCACAATTAACCCTTACGTAGATAAGTAAAATTTTCCAAGCTTTAATGTTTAAAATTTTCTGCATAAATGTTTATTTCGGAAACCTGTACGTAAACATGTCGAGAAAATGGGGATTCAGAGCGACTTTACGATACTTTCGGAAGAACATAGAGAATTGTTAAAGGAAAATAAGAAACGGGTGCCTACACGAGGGTTAAATAGATTTGTATTTCACACTGGAATATCTGCTTTGACGACGACGAAAAATATTCTCCGGACAGTAAAAGAGAAAGTTAGAAGGAATTGTTCCAATAAAGTTGACGATTTTCACTGTCCTTTTGATAGGGATTTTACCAATGGCGGCTCGTCTGTGAGGGCTGCAGCCATTTCAGTAGATTCTTGCGAATATCTCGAAAACTAAGAGAGTCCGGCGGTTACGTGTATAGGAATAAGTTGTTCAAAACGTTGATTTTTACAACATATTTAAAAATTAACAAAATCGGTGATGCCGTCCGTTTTCTAAATTTTGTATTTTTATTAGTTTCATAAGTTTTATTCTTATTTACCTTTAGCTTTACTATTATACATTATTGGTATTATTAGTTTTATTAATGATACAATTTCTTCAACCAACACGGATTTCTTTTACTTTTATCACTGCAGACTACAAATTCTTACGAGCCGCCACTGGATTCTACGACATCTACCGATGATGTTTAAAATAAAACTAAATTTCTCTTTTACAGAGTCTTTGATTAAGAGCGATAGATCTTTAAACTTAAACGAACCAAGTTGTATAAGACGTATTGTGAAAACTTTTACTTCTATTTGAAGCATATTTAACGCCACCAAGTATGCAAAACGATGTCTCTCAAATATCCCTCAATTCTTCATGACACTCTCGCATATTTGAGACCCTATTTCACTAATAACGCGAGTAATCCTGCCCTCAAGCTCGTCAATCGTTCTTGGTTTATTGGCACCGACCAGAGATTCAACGTACTCCCAGAAAAAAATAGTCCAAAAGCATTACGTCGCACGACCTCGGAGGACAATTAACGTCACCGTTTCGCAAATTACCAAACCTTGAAACTTCTCGATTATACAGGGTCCCGGCCGAATAACATGCACAAGCAGGCATGAGGTGGTTTCTTATAAAAAAAATAAGAGGAAAATATGCAATAAAATTTGTTCATTTTCGGCTTAGTTTTCGAGAAAGTCGAGTTTGAAGTTCCTTGTACTCGGTAGCTTTTAAATGCCGTGTAGACGTTGCTTAGAAGCACGTCGCACGGTGAACCGTATCTTAGCCAGGGCTACGTACAGGCACAGTGGATTTTCAAATTCGATTTTCTCGAAAACTAAGCCTCGCACTTTCGTCTTATTTTTTCATAAGGAATCACCTCATTCCCTCTTGTACATGTTATTCGGCCGGGTGCTGCATAGTTCGACTTTCGATGATAAATTCAAACTTGTATTAGGTCATCCCGTGAGATCATGCCAAAAGCGAGAAATGTTTTAATGAAAATCGAAGGAAATTCTACAGCGACGATATAATGCTCTTACAAACGAAAAATCAGAGAAGAGTTGTGGAATGAGAAGGCACTTACGTTTGTTTTTTAGCAAATTTGAAGGTACGTTGGAAATACTGATCTAAATTATAAAATTCGACACGAACCTACGAAACGACCTATTTCAATTCGTTGTTTGAACTGTATAACGATTCACGGTCAAATGGCACACAATACAGTACACAAATTTCACACAACGACACAAAGAACGTTTACAAAGATGGCCTCGATTGATCGTAAAAATTCGATCGCCCCTATTGGAAGACTCTTTGTATCTTCTTCGCAACGTGACTAGATTTACGCGAGAAGGTACAAACGCTCCACGAATTATCAATTATTTACACTCGAAACGTTTCAGTTTATATCAGCGGAATCCTAGTAAAGGGAAAAGAAAGTTTGTCAGTCAGATGACTTTTCGCAAGTTTGTTCAAGTAGTAATATTAAATCGTCCTTTTAAAAACAGCGACGGAGGCCATCGTTTATAGCAGAGAAATTCCGTGGGCTCACATTTTAAAAGGGGCTGGGGGAATCGCGTGGAAGGCCATCGGTTGAATACTTTTAATGCCGAGGAGAACACAGAGGGTTAACGACATTAATTTTTCCCTTCCCGTTTCGCTCTTTCTCCGCTTTTCTTCTCCTACTTTTCCCTCCCCCCGCTTAGCTCAACATTGCGGAGTTTTCATTTGCATTAGAATACTACAGTAGTCTCATCTCGTTTCCGTAAAGTCTGACCTTGAAAGGAAAAAAAAAAACAAAACGTCGGATGCTCCCCGGTTAAATTGGAGCCATAGCGTGAAATTCATTATTGAATAATAAGATTTACGGAGATGTAATAGAATTTCTTCGCGTGACCTGTTGAACATCATATTTTTTTAATACCGCATCCGGTTAGAAAAAAGAAGGAAACTTGCGTATTACTTTCGCATCGACGCGAGAACGAAGTATCCTGCTTCGTGAAATACACAAAATCGCCAGAGATTGTGTTTGCGATGTAGAAGATTATGTAAAATTGAATCACACGTTTAGCTCATTTTGTGAATTTCAATTACACTTTAATTCAGAATTAGTTTCATTTTTAAAAGTGTCGGTAACTTTGAAATTTGTCACGACGAACGCTATTTTGCCAGTGTCTTTTTCTTTTTTTCAAAATTCAAATTGAATTATTTGCAGTTAACGAAAGTAATTGTTTGTAGTTATCTGTGCAAAATTCAATTTGACATTTGCTAGAAGTACTGTCGGGTTGATTTGTAAATTATAAGAAGCAGTAACGAAGTTGAAAAATCTCGAAGTAATTTGAAACATTAAATGCTGAATACATTATTTCACATGTAGCATTTTATAAAGCTGCAAAATTAAGTTAAAGTACCTGTTATATGCTTAAATCTGTAGTTAATGGGATTCAAGTTAAAAATACAAAGCACCATAAGTCTTGAATATTTCAATAAACTGTCAGTTGTTTATTCAAATTGAATTAGTTTTTGTATTCCTTCCATTATCGATATTTAATAAAGAATCTGCAGAGGTTTACGGGAAAAGAATAATATTTTTAAATCAGATTTTAGTTTTCTATAAAACATGCAATGTTTGTAGAGTTATGCAATTAATAAAATAAAGGACTCATATTTAAGTTTCACTTATTTTCAGCATGTTACAATTAAAAAGTAGCTTTCGAAACATTTGTTCATTAATTTAGAATGCACCAATTTTGGTAATTATGAAATTACTAAAAATAATACTCAAAATCAGGCAGCATGTTCTATAATGTATCATGATATAACCGCAATGCATAAAATGATATAATAAATGTATAAACTCTGGTCACGTGAAGACCAAACACATTAAATTTTCAAAATTTGTTTGTTCACTAGAAACACTTTAATATTAAATGCAAGCTGGTACGCTGTTAAATGTTAACGACGGGACTGATTACGTATCAACTTTATGTTTTCGTTGCAATAAATAGCGAAGTAAGCAGTTCTTCGGAAATTGACGTTATAAGAAAGTTTCCGGAAGTTAACATCAACATGCAATATTTTTTCATTCGTGTGTAACTAAAGCAAAGCTAATTTAACATTTTCAGTAGCAAATTTTTAATTGTTGACAAGAGTTGAAGTTATTCTTAAAATTCTCTTTATAGCCCTTTTCCTGTGTCTAACGTTAACATTGTTTTACAATTTACACTTCTACATTTCCATTTGTTTAGAAACTCTTCGTTTCGTGGAAAACATGAGCGAAAACTGAAATGCACAAAAAGTAAACACTTTCTCGAATAGAAAGTAGTTTAACTTAAAAGTTTATCGTTTCTTACTTACCTATGATTATGCAAACAACCGAGATTCTAGGTAACTCTAAATTTAAAGAAAAACTTTTGCCTAATATTTCCTACAAAAAATCGTTACTTCGGCTTTTGTCATACTCTAAAGTCACAGTTCTTTTTCACATTTTAAATTTTTCCCGGTACCTGCTGTCTTCTTATAACTCAAAATTTTGAAAGATGTAATCTACGATGATATGTCAATATATCAACATTAACGCAATCTCATTTTTCACTAACACCGTGGTATTTGTTGAGAATCTGATACACGTAACATTAATGAAAATATTCAATGTCCCGTTATAAGTTATAGTATAACATTGGCTAATAATAATCGCTTCTTAACCTCTTCAGGGACGATTTTCTTCAAAATTAGAAAATATTGATCTAATCACAATTGAACTACTTTCCTTGGGAGATTTTTCGAGATTGTGTTTTTCATATTTCCTCTATGGCAAATATTGGAATTTTCGGAAAATTTAAAGGTACACACTATGTGTCGGTGTCCCTGAAGAAGTTAATATTCCTCGTTTATCGTTAGGCCGTCCCATAAGTTCCTGTCGAAAGCGAAAAATATTTGAGTGAAAATCCAAGGAAATTCTGTAGCGACGGCATAATGGATCTTGCAAACAACAAAAATAGGAAAAAATTATGGAATCATAAGGCATTGTGTTTTTCTTTATTATCAAATTTAAGGGTTCATTGGAAATACTGATCTAAATTATAAAATTCGTTAGGAACTTATGCTCGAAACTACCTTCAAAACCACATGAGACTATTAACGTGTTGGGACTATTTCTGTGTTGGATCCTTTATTCTATTATGGTGACCAACTATTATTACCAGGGAGAAAAGAACATATATTTGTACGGAAACTACGTTGAATTGGAAAACCTGTTTTAGGGGGATTAAACGAAACGAAGGGAAACACTAGTAAGTAAGTAAGTACCTGCAGGTGTAAATTCGCTAAGTGCAAGCGTTGAGGTTACTTCAAGTCGGATTCTTTTAAATGTCACATATGTAGTATATTTTCTTCTACAAAACGATAGAGCGTATCCATATTATATCCCTTAACACTTTTTATAATATTTAATAATAAAGTTTTTGCGTGTTGCTACATAAAATTGGTAAACTCTGAACCTGTTAACCAAGAACAACGACTAGATTATACAGAATTGAAGCGATAAGTACAAGTCACCGTGAATCCATAGAAAGGGGAACGAAGATAAAGTACCATTCGCTGTTTCCATCGAATGAAACACACTTCACCGACGAGATTTGACACGCGTCCATATCCAACAATCCGAGCGAACCCCATTAGCACACCCTCGGTGCTAAGCTCTCTTAAACCCCACGAGCACATAATAATAGCCCATAGGACAGGTACCACCATATGGTCCAGTCCTCGCTCCCTATTGTCAACACCTTAACCGATCGTATTGTCGGCGTGCATGTGTACTTGAGGCTCAACAAGCGAAAAATTCATCTATATCGAGATGACACGTTGCCCATTTTTAACACAGACTCATCCTCCAGATATGAATCTCTTTTATTAGCAATTTATCGGTGTCTTCGTACTGATTGATGCCTATTTCACTTGAAGCTCTGCCTCAATCGTACGTTAGTTGAACTGTGATGTATTGAAAATTTATTCACAGTGTATTTAGAGTAAATATGACACACCTGTATATGTACGTACATCAGGTCTCGTGAAAGTGGTGCGACAATTCGAGAGGAAATGATTCTATAAGATTAAAAATTAGCCGAAATTTTTTCTCGTACCAAGCTTCGTTTTCTAAGTCAATGTTAAACATTTATCGAATTCGTTTGTAAATGTGAGCATAACGCGCAGAGCGCGATTATATTGGCAAACAGGGGAGAATTATTTTTTACATTAATAGGAGACAATCTTTAAGCGAAAACAGGAGCTTTGAGTTTAACACGTTCACTTTTTTTGAGAACTCTCCTATTTGGCGGCACAGAACGACTGTATCCTGCAAACATTTTAATGGTGACTTTCTTCTTTGGCGGTACGAGACAAATTTCTCCTTTTTTCGCTATATTTCCTTAGGTTACCCTACAAAGGCTCGATTAGTGCCTATTACGGTGAAGATAGTGGAAAAATGGTGGAAATATCAGGTTACAATTAGCACTTAGCAAAGGTTCAATGAAAAACGAGCCGCACGGAACGAAGGTAAGACACGTAGTCTGTATTCCCCGTACCGCAATGAACGTTTTAATTGAAAACAAAGCTTCATGCGAAAAATTGTTTTCCGGCGAGTTTGTCTTATCTCTCTATACTCAATTATTCACTCTCAGGCTGTACAATCGTGTTCAGTAACACGAGATATTCGGTAGTTCCTCGCGGAGAAGGTAAACAAAGAAAAAGAAAAGGAACTGTTCCCTGACGACTTTGCCTTATCTCTCCATATTCAATTATTCGCTCTCAGATTGTAGATGCCGCCGTGTTCAATAAGACCGTGCATAAAATAATCGAGATCTTCAGGAGTTCCTCGTGAAAAGGATAAACAAAGAAAAAGAAAAGAAAAGGAAGGGGTTGAGAATGATGCTTACCAACGGAAGAAGTGGCTCCAACGCTGCTCCTTCCGGGCGTCGCGGCGGGCGTCGGCGGGCTAGCCTCGAGACCCTGATGAACCCCGTATAGACTAAAATCTTGCTCGTTCGAACTGGTGCTGCTACACTTTCTCTTCTCCTGATTGTGATTCAAATGAAAGCTCTCGTTCTCAACAAGACCGACGCCAAGCAAGCCCAGGTTCGGCCTTAATTCGTCCATCAGCTTGCCTTGACCGCAGTTCGCAGCTGCCGCTGCAGAAAAGTTCAGCTGCCTGCTGAAAATTGCAGGGAAAATGTTGAACTGCTGATGATCAAGGCTGAGGGCGGTTGTAGGCAACGATGAGCCTCCGCCACCGCCGCCGCCGACGGAGGTGCCTCCGACGGAACCGACGCCGCCAGCACCGGGACCCCCGGTACCTCCAGACAGGTCGTTAGCCAGGGTGATGCCGGGGTGACCTTGTAGAGGTCTCTCGATCCGAATGCACTTGACGTCCTTCTACGACCTACCAAGACATCCTCTGTTGGTCCCCTTCTGGAGGAACTGCGATAGATTCGCTCTTTGGTTCTCTCGCGGCTTTATCTTCGAATTCGCCCGAAAATCGACACCAACTTTTCCCGATTAATTCTCCTTCCTCGATCCTACACTTTGCATCGATCTTTGGTTCTTTCGCGGCTTTATCTTCGAATTCGCCCGAAAATCGACGATTAATTCTCCTTTCTTGATCCTATAGCGCAATTTCTTTGCATCGATGTTTGGGTCTTTCGCGGCTTTATCTTCGAATTCGCCCGAAATTGACGATTAATTCTCCTTTCTTGATCCTATAGCGCAATTTCTTTGCATCGATGTTTGGGTCTTTCGCGGCTTTATCTTCGAATTCGCCCGAAATTGACGATTAATTCTCCTTTCTTGATCCTATAGCGCAATTTCTTTGCATCGATGTTTGGGTCTTTCGCGGCTTTATCTTCGAATTCGCCCGAAAATCGAAGATTAACTCTCCTTTCTTGATCCTATAGCGCAATTTCTTTGCATCGATGTTTGGGTCTTTCGCGGCTTTATCTTCGAATTCGCCCGAAAATCGAAGATTAACTCTCCTTTCTTGATCCTATAGCGCAATTTCTTTGCATCGATGTTTGGGTCTTTCGCGGCTTTATCTTCGAATTCGCCCGTTTATTTACGACGTTTTGTTCGATTAATTCGGTGCGTAAAACTACACGTGTATACAGCAACGCGTTGATTTCTTGGCTTTTTAACAAACTACTGCGATGTTTATTTGGAAATAGGAATTGAAAGATTACATTATCTTATTACTTTAAAGTATACCTCTCGAAAGGTTTGCAATAAACTTCCTCGAATACGTATGTAATATTCTCTTAGTAACCGAGAATTGAAAGAACAGTTATCTCCGTTTACACATATTCAGAAAGTTCACTTCATTAACACAATATCGACGACACTATTCGAGAACCAATCTTGCTGTTTTAACCAAGTTCCTTTACGTTGGTCGAGCGGAAATTCGTAAATCCTTTCAATGCTTGCAACTGTATTGCGTGCAATAAATGTCACAATATTTGCTCTCGTCTTCGAAGTTACGACGTCTAAGGACAGTCGAGGGCCTCGGTTCTTCCGGTAAATGCACTTTTAAAACAATGTCACGTTTCGAACTGTATCCCAATCTTACATCTCGTGGAAAACGTTCGTCTCCCTCTCGGAAATATCGGATCACTATCCCCCGTCGTCCCTCTCTAGTCAGCGGTTCGCTATAGTTGCAGATCCCTCTCTCGACAGCGAGCAACTCTGTTCGATCTCGATCCTCAACGGCGGTTTCTGACGATCCGCCTGATCCAAGGTTTGCGTATGGTCGATCTGACGCTGTACCAATGTTCACGGAGGCAAAGGTTTCGTGAACGCGGCGTACCAACGATATTGCGAGAAAATCCAGCGATCAGCCGATCAGAAGGCAAGAGAAGGAGAGGAGTGCGAGAAAGGGTGCGGGAAACATTCCGTTTCCTCGGGTAATGTTCGAAGAAATGCACGTGGACGTTCGCGGCGAGTGGCAGTAGAAGGAGGATGCAGAAGAGGGAAGAGTGCGCGAAAGAGCGGATAGAAGCGCGGCTAGTTAATCGTAAGCGGACGTTACCGCTACCGTGGCCTCGATTCAAAATTCAAATCTTATTATCAGCTCGATGCAATTAGGCGTGTTGTAACCGGTGGGTAGGGTGGAAGGGGGTGTGTAAGGTATCATGGAGAGAGACTTGGTCCTCGAAAATTGAAATATCGAAATAATTGTGGAGAAATGGCGCGTGTGTCCGATGGAAACTGCGCGAGAAGATCCGCGAGCGTCGCAGGGACAACGATAACGAGCACGAAGAGGAAGACGAGAACGTCGGATGAGGGTCGAGGACGAAGACAAGGACGAGGATGAGGTAGAAGCGTCCACGATGACTCGCGCCCTTCCTTTCGTATCGTGGTACGTAACGCGTTACGTGGAGGAAAAAGCCGAAACGATAGGAGAGTCGGCCCTGTTAGAGGGGCGACCGCTCGCCGTGAGTTCTTGTGGGATTCTGTCTGCGAAATGCAGTTATCCCAGTGACTTCGCGGGGGGATAGAGAACGTTTAGAGGGGTTGCCTAGCATGGTAGGGGGTTGTTGGCTGTAACCAGCGCTCCCTTTCATCCCTGTGCTCGGTCGGGCAACGAAAGCACGAGGCACTCGGTTCCTTTACCCGATTGGACGCGCGAACGATGCGTTACCCGGACAACCACCAATCCTGGCACGTTTGCTGCTACTCGTTTTACCCCTACCAGCACGCCAACATGGCGGAGCTACCAATAAAAATTCCTCTGGAAAATAGCCTGCGAGCGATTTTCTTTCCACCTTGCTATCTAGCTTTTCCAACCACTCACACAAACGAATGGCCAATATACGCGTTACCACTACTACCGGTTCGCTTGGGACGTTCCTTTCTACCAGTCTCGCATTCGCGTTCGTCTCATTCTTGCTCTCCACCTCGTACTCCTCTCGTTCTCTTCCACCCCATCTTCGTTGTCTCCTCCTCACCCACCACCACCTCCTCCTCCTTCGAACTCCTTCTCTATCTCTCTTTCACGCTTTACCGACACTGTCTTATCAACTCTTCGCGTTACACTGCCTCTTCTCTTTTTCTCCCTCTCTTCTTCACGAGCCAGTTTTCCTTTTTATTATTCCATAGCAGATATGTAGTTTGTCCTATTCTTTTCTCCCCCCTATTTGATTGTAACCTACACCCATGTCTCACCCAACTACTACACGTACCAATTCGAACGACTCTCCGTTCTATGGCCGCGCCGCGTTTGTCTACGAACCGGCGTTTCCTGTGAACCCCAAATGAATAAAATAGGTTTTTCAACGAATTTTCACCCGTCCTTGTGTCCCGCGCACAGTTTTTCGGTGATTTGTAATTCCGTGAACAAGTCCGGCCTTTCTCCAAATCTGCGTACCATGTGCTAACGTTTCCCTCTCATCCCTATCCTCGTTTCATCTTCGCCCCTTTTTCATTCTCCGTTCTTCCGTTATCGCGAATAAGATTTTCAGCGCGGAGTTTCGTTATTTCGCGTTAACGTATGCATGTACTTCCGTGTCCAATTTTCTATCGCAGCCGTGTAATTCGTATGAAATTACGAGAATTATTTCTATCGACTGCTTGCAGTGTGTTGAACATAAGAAGTCGGTTTTCCCTTTTACAATTTTCATTTTTCTCCCTTCAAAGTTTCTTGCATTTTTATTCTGTATGCCTGTTTTTAAATTTTATGGCTCGTCTATAGTGCATTAGATCGATCAATTTTGCATACTTTTTAGAGACCTCGTTAACAGTGCATCACGCGGACCAGTTTAGAAGCGACTCTAAACGATACTATCGTCGGAATCGAGATATTTGAAGGTACGAATGCTAATTACAGCAAAAGACTTATTATTTTAGATATTTGTTTATTTCGATCACGTCTAATTTCTTCAACGCGTGCGAACTGTAATATTAGGACAGATATTGATTTATGTGCTTTACTTTGATATTACGGAAGATTTACATTTTTCGTAAAATACTTTCTTCTTAATCAAACGCTACGATTTTGTGTTTACTTCTGTAATGTTTATGCTCACAATTTTCAGTTATTAACACTTTGACTGCTAAAGGCGTATATATACGCTCTCTCATATTCATCGATACAGGGTGAGTCTCCCAACATGACGACTTCAAATAACTCGTAAGTTATTCGTTGTACGAAAAAATGTTTCAAACAAAAGTTGCATGGTATCTAGGGGGACATACAGTGCTATAATTTATTTTTTATTACCTTACTCTTTTATTGCGATATTAGGGCCACCTTCAGTTTTTCAAATAGAACGTCTAATATTTTTTTTCGAATGCGGATAAATCGTCAAATTTTGCGCAAAAAAGTATCATACAAGGTGGGGCTTGAAATCAATAATTACTGAGATATTTATAAAACAAGTAAACAAAGTCGTGCTAAGAATCACGTTGGCTGAGCGTATTTCCTAATAGAAAATTATTAATTTGAACATATCTCAGTAATTATTCTAAGTCCCATTTTGCAATAATACTTTTATACGCAAAATTTGACGATCTATCCGAAATCGAAAAAAAATATTAGACATTCCATTTAAAAAACTGAAGGTGACCCTAATATCTCGATAAAGAAACAAGGTAATAAAAAACAGATTAGAGCACTGTATGTCCCCCTAGATACCATGCAACTTTTGTTTGAAACATTTTTTCGTACAACGAATACCTTACGAGTTATTTGAGGTCGTCATGTTAGGAGACTCACCCTGTATATACCAAAGGCGTATAAATGTATACGACTAATAAAATTTGTTTACTACGATACATTTGGTGTTTTGCTAAACTGATGTAACAAAAGGCCTCTTGTTAGATGACGCATAGCAACCGTATCCAAATGAACATCGACAGCAATTTCGACATTGTCTTGTGCTTGTAACGCATTTTTCTGCGAGTCCCAAATGGTTCTGAGTGGGATCATGACGCAGTCAAAGGGTTAATGTAACGAAACTAAAATTTTTAAGAGAAAATGAAAACATAGAAATAAATAACAATGAAATAAAACATTTGCATATTTGAAAGTGGCTAACTCCAATTTTTGAATTTTAAAAAATTTCAGTGTCAAAGCACTTGATCGATACTTATCTTTCTATATTTAAAATAAATTTCCTCGATAATTAGGCTTAAGACCACTAAATGACGGAGATAGCCGTGGAATAATAAATTTCACAAACCAATGTGATTAACTCCATGCT